CCCATTTTGCATTTATTGCCAAGATCTTCATATTATAATCAGAAACCTGCAAATATTCTGTCGTACTAAGATCTTATCTAAGGCTAAACAGATAAGGACTATATACTTAATACAGAATATAATTTTACAGATATAGAAATACTAGTTTGAAAACTTTTAAATGCTTTGAAACTTAGGCTGATCTTTGGAATATGGTAACTGGTAGTTTGGCGACATTTTGGAGGCGATAAAGGTTACTACCTAGGACTTTGGTAATAATGTGAGAAGTACTCAGTTCCGATTACGCATTATTTTGTGTGAGGGAAATGAGAGATCATGAGATATGTCATGTGACATTAATGGACGAATTACAGTTCTTTAATCGGAAAAGGGGGGGAATTTGGAAAACTGTAGTACTATATTATTTTGTATTAAGCTTCATTGTGTGTTGTGTGAAATAGTGGAAGTGTGCGTGCCACGTAATGAAGATTCTGAAGATTAGGTAAGTTAGTATTTTTAATCATTTGAGGATATTATTTTTATGCATTGTTCTAAATGTAAGGAGTAAATAAATTAATATGGTATTATTGGAAAATTGTTATTAGCAATGATTTAGTTTAAAGTAATTAGGATTGTAATCTAATTTTTATTAATTTAATGTATGTGCTTATTTATATTTTAAGTAGTGTTTTTTAATTTAATTATATTTTAATTTAATGATCGTGATTTTGTGAGTTATATGTTTGTAGTATTTTGGAATACGTTTGAGTAGAATACGTTGAGTATTTTCATGCATTTTCGTGAAATTTTTCTAATTTATGAGAAAAAAGCAGTGTACATGGATATAGTGAAGAGTGTGCGCAATGCCATTTTTGTGCAATTCTGGGATGTTTTTTTAAGTAAAAATAAGTCGACGTGTACATGGTTTAGTGATATTTTAATTAAATGATAGTTATTTTGTGAATTTTATGTTTGTAGGAATTTGGTATACGTTTCAGTTGAAGTAAACGTGCATGGAAATAATTTAAATATTTGACACTAAGTATTTGTAACCATTTGTTAATGTTTGCGGTATGAATTCGTTGGTGACGTTTATAATATAATAGATAATTTAGAGGTAAAAGTTTTTGGATATTTTATTTATTTTATACGTGGAAATGTTCATCCTTGGAAAGGGTATATACTTTTTCGCGATCAGGTAATTTCATATATGTGCTTTTTACCGAGTTTAAAGATTCACAAAATTTTTTTGCATTTTCGTGCAAATTTTTGTAATTTATGAGAAAATAGCAGTGTAGATGGATAAAGTTAAGAGTGTGTGCAATGCCATTTTTGTGCAATTCTGGGATGTTTTTTTTTTAAGTAAAAATAAGTCGACGTGTAAATGGTTTATGTGTATGTGCTATTCTGAAAAACGCGCAAGGAGTTTGCGATTGTGCACTTTTTCCCAATTTTGCAGTTAATATTTGTCATGATTAAGCAGTTTTGTTACATAAAATTTCTAGCATAAGTGTAATTCGGCTAGTAGATTGTTGGAAAAAGTGTTCAGTAAATAAAAAAAAAGAAACATGTCTTTACTTCGTGAAGACAAAATGGCGGCGAAAAAAAAATAGAGGGTTGCTGTAGCAGAGTTGGTCGCCACATTTTCGCCAAAAAATCGCCAAGTTACCATAATCCAAAGATCAACCGAAACTTATTAGCTAAATGATAATAATCTACTCAATATGAAATAATATTCTACAATATAAAATTATTGAGGAGTGTTAATTAAAATATTTGGGTTCACTAAGAAAATAATTTACATAAGCATTATACAAATCTTATTTCAAATTTATGGATAGATACATGTTTATTACATTATGAAAGCTGAGTTATTATTCAAAACTAATTCTACTTCAGAAAATTCTCAATACACAGTTTTATAGTGTTACATATATGTAACAATTATGAGTACAATCTCATAAAATTAACATAACCTTCTCATTTGTAGTGTCCAAAATCAGATGCCCCCTCTTGCTACACTCCTGCTGACACCTACTAATTGTTTTTATAAACTGTATTAATCTTTCACATGAGAAACTTGCAATATTTTCACAGGATGCTTCTAAAATAGTATAATAATATACTGATAAAGTAAAATGGAGAAAAGAATACTGTTTTTTCAAACAATTTCATAACAACATATCTTTCATAAGAAGAAACAGGGTATTTGACATCAATAGGTAAAAAATTACAATCCCTTTTCACATGAAATTTTAAGCACTCTAATTAGATAAAATATTAACAGATGACTTCAAGAATAATATCAAATCTAAAATCCCAACAAACACTGTAATTCGTTTTTAAATAATACTGCAAATGAATCCAACTAGTTATCTTTTTTCAGATCCTGATTTTTGACAAAACACAAATGAGAATGTTACGCACCAAAGATGAAAGATTATTATGAAAACCAGAGAGAAATTTAACTAACATATTCTTCTCTGTTTACTATTATATAATTCGGAACTTAATTCCATTTACATTTTTCGAATGTTTCAGGTGATACATAAAAGATATTAAGCAGAAAAAAGTATAGACGAATTCATAAAAAATGTTTCTATAACTGAAATTGATCAGAAAACCAGAAATCATGACACATGTAGAATATATAAACATAAATTATAGAATAATTGATTAAGTTATTATAATTTAGACTAAAAATTGCAACAATTCAATAAGTACTTACTCTTAGCTCAGGCGGCAATCCAGTAAAATATAAGATGTCTTCGAAAAAAGCTGTTAGTTCAAACAGAATACAACTGTTTATCTCCCCTAATACTTTACAAACTGCTTAATAGATAGCAAACGTATCCAGTCTGCTTCGGAACATTCTTTTGAATGATTACGATGATGTATTCATTTAAAGATACATTGCTAAACTTTCATCCGACGCCATTACTTTTCGATCGCAAGATTTTTAAACGGTTGCACATAAGCAGCCGAAAACCAGACGATCGCTACGCCGTACGAAATGGTTTCGATCAGTGCTGCAGGATTGCAAATTGTCGCTCCGCACGAAAAACCCGTCATATGTGACGTCACTCTCGTATCGAGATCTCGTCGTACGCAAGGAGGATACGGCCCCTAGTCGCCAAATCCTGGGTGCGGAGAATCATCATCCACAACCCTTTTAGTTCCGGCGCCACTTGTAGAGTCATTAGGCAAATTGGAAGCAGGAAAGAGGAAAAATATGCAACCTCCTTCGGGAATCGAACCAGGGACCTCTGGAATACCGGACCAGCGTACTACCGTTACACCACGAAGGCACGCTAGGGATGTGGAAGAAATACCTTATAAACTGCCTTCAACAGTGAAAGGAAAAAAAGAGGGAAGAACACTGAAAGGACTTAATTAATTTAGTAATTTTGAGATCCAATAAAGGGCCAGAATCAGTTTTGAAGGGTTACATCATGAATTTTGAAAAGATTCGAGATTTCCTTGATCAATGATCTTGTGTTGTTAACAACACGAGAAAGGAACCACTCGCGAAAGGTCATTCACATCGCAAGTGATTCGGGAGGGAGGAGGGAGGGGTGGGTAGTTAGGCGAGTTAGGTTTAAAGAGATAGGGCCAGAACTGCCTCTGAGGATAAACGTGAGATAAATAAATTAGTAGCTTTAAGTGTTATGATATAATAGTAATAAATTAAACGAATTCCCTTAGAGAGATTGAGTTTAAATAAAATATCTGGGCACAAGAACTCTTTTAGCAAAGAACAAAGAAGTGCTTACTCTTAAGTTACAGCCACTTATGGTTGAAAGAAATAATAATATGGGACAAAGAGAGTGACCCTGAGAGAAGCTGAAAGAACAGCGAATTCACTCAGGCCGCGGGGGGGGGATGTTCAGTGAACTAGTTGACTGATAACCTCGAGGCGAGTCGTCTCCATAGCAGGGCCCCTTAGGAAATGGTAACGCATTAAAACCCGTTTACACTAGCGGAACTTTGGTCCCAAGAAACGTCCTAAGAATTGTAACCTTTATATGCGCTTTCCAGAGTGGCTCTGGGTCATTTTCTAGATGACGAAATTCCTGGATGATAACTAGGCAATGAATGGAGAACGGGTGTTAGATACGACAGTAAATGTATACCATTTTGTCCGTTCAACTTATTTCTACCTAAATAATCTCTCAAAGATTTAAACACAACCAAACATGTTTATTCTACCAACTTAATAACGTTTTACAACTGTTGCCACTCAAGCAAAACTAAAAAGGAAATTAATATTACACTGGTTGAATGTAGATTAACAATGCTATGCTTTACAACGGGGTTACCTATCGAAGGAATCTTTTTGAAAATGTTAACCGAAAGTCGCTGTATAAAGCGATTTAAGGGAAGAATTGTGGCTGCATTATGAATGTCCTCGTTCATAACAAACCAAGGAGCTTTGTAGATTTGCCGAAGCATAATATGTTGGAAAATTTGGATATGTTTCCTGTTAATAATTGCTGCTGTGCCTCACCAACGACTTCATATAACAGTTCAATAGCAACACGAGACTTGCATAAGTTAGAATAGGCCTTATCATTGATTTGTAGAGCAAGATCTTAATTTTCGAGGACAGGTCGCTTTTCCTAGAGAAAAAGGCAGCAATTGGGATTTGACAACCTTCGCACAGGATATTGTTTTTCGAATATGAGGTTGCCAAGTTAATTTTGAATCAAGTATCACTCCTACATATTTATAAGTAGGAACCCAGAGAATTGGTTCTCCGAAGAATTGCAAGTTAGGTAAATTGGGCTGATGAGGCATAAATAGCTTTATCTGAATTTTTTAGTAAGGTGGATCATTCGCTAGCATTGCTACTCTCCAGCCTCCTTTCTTCTGCTTATTATGACCTCATGTTTGACCTCAAATGATTTCCCTCTGTTTATTATGACCTCTCGCGTACCTGAAGGAGATATGACTGTATAATTATAATTCATACAACTAAAGATTATCGACATTTCTTTTCGTGTTGAAGATTAATCTTTTAAATAAATGATTGTAATAAACTGAATCCGCTTTTTCTCCATATGTCGCGCTCTTATTTTCGTAAATAACATTATTTGTAATTGTGAGTGGCAACTACTTAATGTTTGTTGCATATCTGCTTTGTCGTTTAGGTGCTAATGAATTGGCCATCCTTTTTTTTTGCATCTAAAATTACTAGGAATATGGTAGTGTTTGCTCTTACCTTGATTCGTCAGTAAGTTAAGTTATAATTAAAATTTGTGCCTAGCTATATATAAATATTTTTTAACGTGTGTTTCAAGTCATCTGGTGTGTAGTAAGCTATGTTAGTATGTTATTGAGGGTTTTTAAACATAATTTTAATGCAAGAAAGCTAGGATCGCATCTTTTCTTTTAATTTGTGATCACTGATCAGTTAACCGAAGATTATTGCAATTGTAGTAGCGTAGCTATATAAAATGCCCCGTTTTGTGTTAGTTATTGTGATAAAATTTGACAAATTATTTCAAGATACGTTTCGGCGTTTACTTGAGTTTTCATTTTATTTATCAGTTTGGATATCGAGTAGATAATGTGATTTTTAAGTGTAAAAATGGGATCGGAACATTCTGCTCGGTATTTATATATTGTTAAGCCCGCATCTTGAATTATTTAATACAGGCCTGTGATATAGATAGATAGGTAAAAATATATTTGCGGGTGCCCCTTGGCGATAATTGGCGATTTTTGGCAGTACATGGACACCGAGTTTGTGGAACTCTTTGACTTCTAATTTTGGCTGCCAAAAATCGCCGCTACACGTATCCAAAATAACAAGGTCAAAGAATTGCACAAACTCAGTATCCATGTGCACATAGACCTATTTTCACTTTAAAAAACGTCAGAGAATTCCACAAACTAGGCATTGTTCACTCCTTTGACTTTAGCCAGGCACCCACTTAAAAAGTGAATGCATAATATATAATCTCAATAAACTACATTTTAAATCAAGCAATGAAATAACATAAAAAGAAATATCACAACACTACAAACGGAAATAGCCACTTACTTTTTACTAATTTCGAGCCTTCAGTCAACAAATCCTTACAGCATCCATAACTGAACTAGAATCTGTATACTACTGCCGTCGCCACATAATTCACAGAAATAAGAGTAAAAAATGTCCTCCGTATGCCGAATTGTTTTGACCAGCACTTTCCTTCCGACAACAAGACACTTAATATGGCTACTATAAACCTCATTTGCCGTCAGCAATTAGGATTTTTCCTCTTTTGTTCTAACCGTACAGAATTCAAATTAGTCTACCCATTCAGCATTTAACCTCGAAACCGCAAATAACATGTACTTATCAAAAATCCAACACACACTTTCCATATCTTTTCGCGTGATTCAAATTGACTGCATGATTGCAACCAATTATGTCATAATAGGGTTTCCATAACATTCAACTATTCAGGTTACCATAAATGAAACAACAACTTAGCGATAATCCAAGGGCACCCGTAAATCTACTCTAACCCATAGATAATATATATAAAAGAGGATAATTTTTTAAAGTGAAACACTGTCTGTACTTTTTTTGCTTTGTTTAACATTAGTAAAGTTGATATCATACTCTATATTAAATAGAGAGTGTCATGTTTAACCCCATTTCTTTTTAGGTGTGATTCTGTATATTATTTTGCATGAGATTATTGATGATTTCTAATAGATGTCTGTTTCACATTCATGGCAGCAAATTGATATGCATTTAAGTAAGTTGGTACGTCATAATTTCACAACAAAGCATCTTTAATCCCAGGAAATGTAACCAGGATTTTCAAATACCATCAGATTTACAAGCCATTGATCAATCCACAGTGGATGGTGAAGAAATAACTCCTTGTAAAATTACGTAATATTCCTTAGTTCGCTGTTTTTCTTAAACTACATAAGGCATATATTCCAGGTAAAACTTGTATTCAGCATCAGAATGTAGCCTATATTCTGTTTTTCTCCAGCATTAATGTCAGGAAAGGCCTTGGTATAATTGTTTTAACTTTACCGTATCTGGCCGCGGGGGACTCTATTATCCTAAGTCACATTAAAAAAGAGTGTATGTCAAGGAACAATTCCTTCTCAGTAAAAATATATTTACGGGTCCCCCTTGGCAAAAATTGGTGGTACATGGATACCGACTTTGTGCAATTCTTTGTCTTGCTATTTTGGTTTTGTGTAGCATGTCGCTGCACAAAGCCAAAATAACAAGTCGAAAAATTGCACAAACTCAGTGTTCATGTACACATTGAGCTATTTTCACTTAAAAAAAAAAAAAAAAAAAAGAAAAAAACCCTCAGAAAATTGTACAAATTTGGCATTGTGCACTCCCTTGACTTTATCCATGTACACATCGACCTATTTTCACTCCATAAAAAACATTAGAGAATTTTACAAATTTGGCTTTGCACAGTCCCTTGATTTTGTCCTTGTACGCATCGATCTATTTTCACTTAAAAAGTCAAAGGAGCACCCAATTCTACAGTAGAGCCAAACAAAAAATACTTAATCTCAGTAAACTACATTTTAAATAAACAATAGAATAACATAAAAAAGAAAATTCATCTTATGCATCTAAGCACTACACAAAGCAAATATCCACTTACCTTATTTAGAAATTTCTGCGTCGCACAGAATTCCTTAACAGCATCCAAAAAGTTCCTAAAATTATCTGAACTAGAATCCGTATAACAGGATATACGGATATAGGCTGAGTATTTTCATAGCTTGAAGAAAGTGGTTTTACACATTTTGGAAATGAATTAGCTTTTATTTTTGCAACCATTGGTTATAGACATATACTTTGAATAACAAAAATATTTTAAATGGTCCAAACACTCATGTTTTTTGGCTTTTAAATTTAAGATTAATTGTATCTAAAATACAAAGTTAAACATTTTACATGTGCTTTTTTTCCCTGTACTTATATTTGAGGAAATATTGTATTGTTATAATACAAGGAAAAAAGTAAACAATAAGTTTGACACCTGTACAACAAAAACTAACCAAGATATTTCAGAATTTGCAATGTTTAAAATCATTTTGAATTTGCATTGAGAGATGTTAATAAATAGATTACAGTAACTCAAAGTTGATTTACTCCCTTAAATGCCATTCAAAGCTATTATTTTATGATTTATTGTTGTCTTTATTTAAAGTTTTGTTACATTTGGTATGCTAAAATAATTTTCATATAAGTAATTTAAAGTTTCCAAAATCTAAAGAATATGTTATAGTAGTTTCATAAAAAATCTTAATCTGTAATCCTAAAAAAATTCATTAAAGTACAAATATTTTCATCCTTAGTTAATGCAAATAACGATATCAGCTGCATGTGTGCCATTACTGAAGCCTGCCGCAATTTTTATAATAAAATATCCATTTTGAAAAAAAAAAAAAAAATTGGTTGATCTTTACATTATGGTAACTTGGCGTTTTTTTGGCGAAAATTTGGCGACCAACTCTCCTACAGCAACCCTCTATTTTTTTTTTCCCCGCCGCCATTTTGTCTTCACGAAGTAAAGACATGTTTCTTTTCTTTTTATCTACTGAACACTTCTTCCAACAATCTACTAGCCGAATTACACTTATGCTAGAAATTTTATCTAACAAAACTGCTTAATCATGACAAATATTCACTGCAAAATTGGGAAAAAGTGCACAATACCATACTCCTTACGCGTTTTTTCAAAATAACACATACACATAAACCATGTACACGCCGACTTATTTTTACTTAAAAAAACATCCCAGAATTGCACAAAAATGGCATTGCGCACACTCTTCACTATATCCATGTACACTGCTTTTTTCTCATAAATTAGAAAAATTTCACGAAAATACATGACAATTTTCTGAATCTTTAAACCCGGTAAAAAGAACATATATGAAATTACCTGATCGCGAAAAAGTATTACCCTTTCCAAATATGAACATTTCCACATATAAAATAAATAAAATATCCAAAAACTTTTACCTCTAAATCATCTATTATATTATACAACGTCACCAACGAATTCATACCGCAAGCATTACAAATACTTAGTGTCAAATATTTAAATTATTTCCATGCACGTTTACTTCAACTTAAACGTATATACCAAATTCCTACAAACATAAAATTCACAAAATAACTATCATTTAATTAAAATATCACTAAACCATGTACACGTCGACTTATTTTTACTTAAAAAAAACATCCCAGAATTGCACAAAAATGGCATTGCGCACACTCTTCACTATATCCATGTACACTGCTTTTTTCTCATAAATTAGAAAAATTTCACGAAAATGCATGACAATTTTCTGAATCTTTAAACCCGGTAAAAAGAACATATATGAAATTACCTGATCGCGAAAAAGTATACCCTTTCCAAATCATTTCCACATATAAAATAAATAAAATATCCAAAAACTTTTACCTCTAAATTATCTATTATATTATAAACGTCACCAACGAATTCATACCGCAAACAACATTACAAATACTTAGTGTCAAATATTTAAATTATTTCCATGCACGTTTACTTCAACTAAAACGTATACCAAATTCCTACAAACATAAAATTCACAAAATAACTATCATTTAATTAAAATATAATTAAATTCAAAAACACTACTTAAAATATAAATGAGCACATACATTAAATTAATACATACATAAATACCCATTGAATTCACTTTAGTTACGGCCATGGGATCCAAAAATTACGAACACTGTTTCACACAACACAGAATAAAGCCAAATACAAAATTTCCAGATTTTTTCCCGATTTCCCCCTTTTCCGATTAAAGAACCGTAATTCGTCCATTAATATCACATGACATATCCCATGATCTCTCATTTCCCTCACACAAAATAATGCGTAATTGGAACTGAGTACTGCTCACATTATTACCAAAGTGCCAGATAGTAACCTTTATCGCCTCCAAAATGTCGCCAAACTACCAGTTACCATATTGTAAAGATCAACCAAAAAATTATATTCATCGACATTTTTCACAATATTCTGCATAAAAATGCTTGTTGTGTAATCTCTTAACTATTTTAATTACATACAAATGCAAACATTTTGCTCTTTAGTTTATGTATGGCCCTTGAATACCATTCTCTTATTTTAATATCAAATATCTCAGTCAGTTTTTGTCACACAGAGATCAAACTTTTTTTTAACAAGAAGAAAATTGTATAGGAAACTGAAGAATGTTTAAAAATAATAATTCTGTATAAAGTAGAAAATCTAATTTTCTACTTTATACAGAATTATTATTTTTTAATTTTAATATACGAAAACATGAATGTGTCATTTCAACCATTTTTGTACTATACATCTATGGCCAACGGTTGCAAAAATAAAGGCGAGGTAAGCACTTATGTGAATAAAGTATGTTATTTTAATGGTGTGTATTAAAATTGTTTTCTTTACTTTTATAGTGGAGAAACTGCTCACAACAAAGATAATGTGATTCAAGGTTAGTAAAATCTCTTTAATATATATTTTAGCTGGGCTATAAATCTTATTTAGAGAAATCTGCAAGGTGCATCGTGTGTAGATATAATGTCAATACTTCCGTAAGTTCTTGGGTATTACTATATTATTACATATTATTGAAGATAGTTGATTTTGTTTATAAAATTGAATATTATTGCTGAAATTGAAAAAGTATGAATGAAAAATCCTACAAAGAAACTAATTCAGCATTGAACATATTTTTCAAAACATTTTATTTCTTGCCCTAGATCATATATGCAAAAAAGAAGAAAGAGAAAATCTTATCTATTAATTCCATAAGTGCGTGAACTGTACTCAGTAACTAAAATCTTTAAATGTTTCACATCTATTGAGCAATATTATTAAAATTATTCAGAGGCTGCATAAAATTCTTAATGGCGCCAATCTTAGACTGTGGCTTTTATATTCAAACTTGATATGAGGAAGATTGGATAAATAGTCATTGCTTGTGTACTGACAAGTGAAGTGTCTTCCGTGTGACAAAGTGGCATCTCTTTGATTTCAGGTGACCATGTCACTCATTCCCGAATCATGCCATGTCTCGATGGAACTCTTTTCATGTAAACTTTTATGCAGCCATGCAAACATCTGGCAATTTGGAATATACCTTATTGGGTAGCACTGCCAGTACATGTGAACAGCTTCTAGTCCATTACAATAAGCACCTCAATATACTAGATACATATCAATTAACTGCTTTTGTGAAACATTCCAAACTTTAACTTCTTTGGAAGTTTGATGATTTTATTGGTTTTTTTTACAACCCCTCACTTAACGATTGCATTTCACTCGCTGCATTATTATCTGACTCAAGTAACCTACCCCTCTCAGAAGTTTGTGTACATGGTAGCAAATCACTGTTTAGATATATTAAAGGTATATTTTTTATGATTAATATATGTAATCTTTGCCCTTTTGCTTTGTGAAATGTAAACCTTTTATTAATTTCAATATTTATTAGACATAACATTTGTCACTTTTATATATATTTATATATTGTGTGTATGTTCAATCAGATTCCTAACATCAAATGGTTTTGTTTTATAGGTCAAATGGATGTTCCTTTGTCACAAACTGGCTTGCGCCAGGCAGAACTTTTGGGATTTCATTTGCAGTATGAACAGTACAGTCATGTATATGCAAGCGATCTAACAAGAGCTATGCAGGTACATATCACCTAATTGTGCAGCTTAAATATTTCTGAATATTGAAATCTAACATGGCGATCAGATATGTGAAAAATCCTTTCCAAGTCTACTATGTCATTGGATTTGTATTCAGAAAATGTATTTGAGGTGGGTGAAAAGGGATGGAAGTTTCGAGCTAGGAAAAGGTAGTTAATATGTTTTAAATTGAAATGTTAAATTGCAGAAAGATGTGAAGTGTATGAAAAGATAAGCCTGTTTTTAAAATATTTTTTGTAAATTTTTTTAATATTTCTAAAAATTTGTAATACATACCTGAAGTAAAACTAAAAAATCCTGACTTGTTCAGGGTCAGGGTTAAATTATTCTTCATTTATTAAGATGAATGAGGAAAATATCCATCTAAAAAAAAAAGACCTAGTGCAAGAAATCATGTGCAGTAATGAAAAATTTGGCATGGGAAGTCTGCTGCTTGCAAGTGACAATGGAAATTAGGTAAAGTGTTTATTATAAGTTAATTAAGAAGACATAAAATAAAGTTTTAAGTTCAGAAAAAAGCAGACATTTACCATATTTACTTCCACATTTCTTCCTCTGTGTACATCTCCCAAGCTTTTTTCAGCATATGATTTGGAAACTTCTGATTTGTGGTAACAGTTTAAAAAAAGAAAAGTATATTATAAATAATAGAAAAACATTTTCTGTAAGTTAAAAAAAAAGATTTAAATTCATAAGTCCTTTGAAATACATAATACGATGATATTAGCATGTTTTTATGTGTCTTTTTAATGTACTATGTATATCAATTAAGCTATCTCTTTAGAAATGATATACACCTTGGGATTCCCCCCCCCATTCCTCAAGGGATAAAATTGGTAGGAAAAAGGTGGATGCTCAAGTAAATACAGCATTCTGTTTTGTCTAGTTTGTTGTTATGCAGAAAATATTTTCTGCTTTCATTGCAAACGGGGGAATAAATTATAGGAAAGCAGAAAATATATGTATAATTTTCAATTCTGTATTACATTCATTAAATATATTCTTTAAAAAAAAATCTTCAGGAATTTAAACTTTCTTAGTTATGAAATTATTGTGTGTATGTGTATGAACATGGAGCCTAAAATTGAACCTTTTTGAATTGAATCTTAATATTGAAATTTTGCGTTGAGGCTTTGAAGCCTCAAGGTATATTTTTTCATCTTTTATTGCCAGTCATCAAAATAATTCTTATCCATCGTATCAAAAATACAAAATTTTGAATAATTTATGTTACATAGGTGGCTTCAATTTTCAATGTTACACTGTTATCAAAATCTCCTTTTATGTAGAGGGCTTCTCATATAATTTTAATTCCTGAAAGTTCTTTCAGATGTGCCTTCTGCTGTGTATAGATTCTTTCAAAATATCCTTTCAATCACATTTATCTATAAATTTCACTATTTCAGTAAAAAAGATGAGTATTAGAGATGGACAAAACCACTCCCTTAACCCCTTCGCTATGAGTGTATCATATATGCATCAGTACTCAATCCTCTTACACGATGGCGTGCCACTTTGTGCAACTCACTTTGGTGACACTGTATTGTAGTAGTACGATATATCAAGATGGGGTATTTTGCGCCACTAAGCCTAACTTAAAAGAAATTCATTTAAAATACTTTTTAAGCAATTGTTTTGATTTTTTTCTGTAATGGTATCAGTAGTATAATCATAAATATAGAATATCAAAATGTTCTGAAAAATTTTAATTAAAATCTAAATGCAAGTAAAATATTTGACTCATCTTGAGGAAATGTAAAAAATTTACTTAAATCTATATCTAAACATTTGTAAAAATAATAAAATATAGCATAAATGATTCAGAAAGGAGACAATGTGTGATAATTTAGTTGCTATTAGTTAGAATTTAGTTGCTAAAGCGAAATTCACAGCTCTTGATTACAAGACATTAGTAAAATAAGGAAATAAATAAAAAGTATAATTCATTATTTTACATAAATATTACAGTAATATTTTATGAAAAGGTAATATTTAATATACATAGCAATACTATAATACAGTATTCAAAGAATTGAAGTGAAACTCAAAGGAACTGCTGTGATGAAGCGAAAAGAGCAAATAATCAAGACACTGCAGGAGCCAGATTTTTGGCTAGAGCAAGAGCAATGAAAAAGCAAGTAATGAAGACTGTTGGAATCAGATCTGCAGCTAGAGCACAAGCATTGAAAATCATGCCTCCGAAGGACTCAAATCTGTAACTGTTGCTGAAGGGCTGACAGCTGGAAATTCGAGGAACTAGTTCCTATAATCTATGTACTTTAAACAGTTCTTTGCACTGACAGGTTGGGGAGGAATTCTATGCTTTTGCAAATGAGGGGGGTCAGTTTCGCTGAGATGCATCAGTTTATTTAATGTTTTGTTTTTTAAATACTAGATGGAACAAAGCAAACAAAAACCACACAAGGTGTGACACACACAAAAAAAAAAAATCAGACTAAGTGTGTAGCTTGAAGAAAGTGTGGAGTTGGCAACAACTGTTTTAGTGACGTCATCCCACTAACCTTTTCTATCCATGCAGCCAGTTTTGACTTAACGGATCACGCCAATTAGGAGTACTGCGTCATTGAGTGAACATGTGCAACTGCAATCTGCCGAAAAAATGTCTAACATAACATAAAACATGAACAGCAAATCAACAACAAGTTTCTTGTGAAACTTAAGAAATCAGCCACAGAAACATTTCAGATGTTAACCAAGGCTTATGGGGATGAAACTTTGTCTTGCACATGTGTTTGAATGGCATAAGCGGTTTTCAGGGGGAAGGGACAGTATGAAAGATGATGAACATGCTGGGCACCCAAGGTCAGTGATTACAGACCAAAACATTTCCAAAGTTCGTGAAGTGATCTGTAGTGACCGAAGATTAAGTGTTCGTGCAGTAGCAAAGTTGGTTAACTTAGATAGGGAAGCTGTTTGACACATTTTAACTGATGAATTTCACATTAAGAAGATTTGCGCGAAGGTTGTTCCAAAAGTTCTGTCCGATGACCAAAAACAGTGCCGTAAAGATGTGTATATGGACATGTTAGAACATATTGCAAACGAGCCAGATTTGTTAAAAATCTGTTGTAATGTGATGAGACATGGATTTTTACCTATGACCCAGAAAATAAACTCCAGTCAATGAAGTCTCTAGGATCCCCAAGACCCAAAAAAGCATACATATCAAAATTCAAGGCAATGTTAATTGTCTTCTTTGACATTAATGGAATTGCAATGATTGAGTGGTTTCCCAGTCGTCAGAATTAATCAACACTACTACTTTGAAGTACTAAAAAGACTTCATGAAAAGATTGGGGGAAAAAGGCCACAGTTGTGGAGTGATGGATGGCTGTTTTGCACCAGGACAATTTTCCGCTCACATGGCCGTATCTGTTAAGCAGTTACTGTGATAGGGCATCCTCCTTATTCACCTGATTTGGCTCCATGCAACTTTTTTTATTTCCTAAAGTTAAATCTCTCTTAAAGAGAACCCATTTTACCTCGGTTGAAGAGGTTCAGGCAAAAACGAAGAATCTTCTGAAGGGCCTTCTAAAAACCTCGTTCCAGAACTGTTACCAGCAATGGCAGTACCGAATGCTGAAGGGGACTACTCTGAAGGTGATAATGTGACGGAGAACTGATTCTGTAAGTACAATGATTTATAGGACCAGTATCTTTTTTTTTTTTTTTTTTTGTGTGTGTGTCACACTTCGTATACATACATAACATGCATATACATGTAAAAAGTAGGTCAGAGGCGTGTCCAGTAAATAATAAAAGAAAGAATGCTAGTGTTTATATTAAGAGGAAATCAAATTTTTTGGCTCACTTCCCAACAACTGTTCTCGGTGAACTGTTAAAGAGCTGCTATTGCTGTTACGAGACTCTACCTGAATTTTGTTCGTTCAGTCGGTACTCCATTAAAAGAAACGTAAAGAGAGATTTATAATTAAGTAATACGGGCAATCCACCCAATTAATTCACTATAAAACAGGCAATCCACCTTAATGCAAAATCATGGTGTAGCTTTGCTTTTATTCTAAAACATAAAAACGATACAATGTTGCCAAACTGTAAAATTTAACATTTAAAGAAATTACATTTATACAACCGTTGAGTTGCTCGCGACATCTCCTCCCACCTTTTGATTTATGGTAGACAGAACATAATTAGAATACAATATACTTAATAATGAGGCTAAGCAATACTTTGTATAATCATAAAAAGAAAAAAAAACTAATTAAAATGCGAAGGTTTTACAATAGTTCTACCACATCTAGTTTTAATTATCTTATCAGGAGGTTTAAAGTTAATTTCTTTACTAGCAGGAATGTTAAATTGGTTTTGTTTAGGTAAAAATAAGTTCTCGTCGTCCATCACTTCCAAAAGATACAATCGTTGCACAGGACTGATCGATTCAACTGCAGCTGTTTTCACCTGACTATGGAATAATTCAATAACTCGACCCAATGGCCAGTCCAATCTTTTTTAGTTGTCTCTTCCCACAAGTACCACATCTCCTAAATATATTTGTCTTCGATTAGTTTTATTATCTCTGGACTGAATTAGGAGACTCAAATATTCGTGTTTAAATCTTTTTCTGAGATCTTGTCCTAATTTCTGTTGATATCTATATCTCTTAGTGATACTGACTTCATCTATATGGCGCAAGTCTGGAACTCCCACCGTTCTTATATCCTGAATGAACATTGAGGGTGTTAAAGGCATTAAATCTTCAGGATCTTCAGACAAATAATTAACGGTCTTGCATTGATTTACAGCTTCCGTATCGCAAGAGAATGGTACACAACTCCTCATATCTCAAACAGGCTCTTCAGAATATTCTTCTCAAAATTTTCTTAATCATTTGAATAATACGCTCCCACCAACCCCCATGCTCCCGCTTACCCCACCACCACGCATCTGTGAGGGGATTGAACTTCCATGTAATCTTCAAAATAGAACATTCTTGCATAATT